AGCAGGCGGAGAAGGCGGAGAAGAAGGAGCAGCAGTGAGCAGTGTTCTCGCCTTTTGGGCACCGTCTCAAAGAATCCTGGCCACAACAAAGAAACCTTTCGAACTGAACTCTGCAGACTTTTTCTGGGCCACGGATTCTTTGGTCAGCGCCTCCTTTTGAGACTGGCACCAACGTATTTGCTGTGATGCTTTCTAGTGATGCAGAAGATGTCGAGGTGCTGGAGGCACCAAAAAATCTAGCCGGTTATGAAACTCGGACAGGTTAACGGACCAATGCAGCAGTCCGGATGCTTCAGACTCCTCGATTGGTTTTCGTTTACGGAGGACATACCAACGTGCAGCCCCACAAAACAACCTCTGCACGGCAAGCAGGAGGCTACACCTAGCGGAGCGCCAATCTCTTGACAGTCAGACAGTCAGAAGCTTCTGGGTGCATCGACGCAGCCTGAAGGGCTGCGCTTTTGGAGCTGATTGCAGCGCAGTTGATTTCATTGGCACGATGTTGGGCACGTCGTGTGGCCTGTCCAAGGGGTTTGTACGGGCAGTATGTGATAAGAGGACTTCGTGCATGACCGTGACACAGCAAGATACTCGTGATCTAGCTTCCGATGCTTCCCATGCTCCCTCAACTGTAGTGGTACTGGTCGAAAGGGTTTGGATGACATCATGTTGAAGAAAATACAACTCTTGACACATGCTTGCTTATCTTTAGAGATGGCCGATGATGGATCAACTGCGGTGCCCAGTAGCAGCTTAGCATGATGGCCTCGTGAGCACAGTAAGATCCGTGAAGATCTTTCTAGGCGCATGACAAGGATCACATGCGCATGCCCATGAGTCAGACGACGAAGCAGGATTGCTGTCTGCAGTCAGTCTTACAGAATCCGGACGCATTAGTTATCTCCGTCGTGCTGTAATGCCGCTCATGCCCTAACACCCGGACGCATTCATGCAGTGTCGGACCTTTTGCGCAAGGACGATTTGTTTCTTCCAGTTTGCAAACTAAGTTCACAGGGTGTGTCAAGCATTCCAGACATGCTTAAACCTAGTGCTCCCCCTCGTCGAATTAGCCATCATGAGAGGCGCGGATGCGTAGCTTGCCTGTGCTCGGGTGTTCAGAAAATGGGAGTCCTTGCACCAGCCAGCCTGCATGTTCACATGTGTGAAAATAAAATTACAGTGCTGTGCATTCTTCACCATCTTGCTGCATCTACATGAGTACGTGCCGAGAGCATTTGGCTGCCACCGTCATGTCAGTTGGAACACGGCAGAGTTAGCACCCTGCCCTGGTGTAGCTGGCAGTGCGGACTTGTGCAGGTGTTCTCTAGTGTGGCTGTTTTTGCCCAGGATCAAAAAGCAGATGTTTCCAGGGAAGAACGCACATGGTGGGACGACTCTATGTAGATGCATTCCAGAAGGACAATGGAATACTTGTTTGCAGTCGTTAGCTGTGAGCTTCCGTACCCTACAGTAATTGATTAAATGAGCCGTGCTTCTCGCCATCGAGTCGTCGAATGTTCTGGGACCTTAATGTTGTTTGGGATGCCAAGCGTGCAGCAGCGTTTGCTGATACCGCCCTGAGGCCGGGGTGGAAGGTCTAAACAACTACTTACTGTGGGCAATAGCAGGGTGGCCGCATGATTCAATTTCTACGGCAGATCGCCAAGGTGAAAAGTCATGTAAAGATGTGTTTGGCGCAGGTTTGGCTATGCAGGCTGGCTGCTCAGCAGTGCACGTGAGGTGTGCTGCCTCACTACCGGATGGCTCCGGCTTCGGGCAGCCAAGGTCTTGCATACAACGTGACCCTGTCTGGGCAGCAAGTCCTCGACTTGCGGTCTCACCAGTCTCTCGGACTTGAAACTTGAGAGTGCGGATGGGTCAAGAGACCGAAAGCCCGTCAGCAGATGCCTATGGCTCAACGGAGAAGTACCCGCTCTGAGCCTCTGAGCCTCTGAGCGGACCATGGCGGAGGCGGAGGCCTCGGAGCTCTCAGGCGACAGGGCGGTGTCACTGCTCCGGGAGCCGCAGGCAAGCCGGGGGTCCCCCCCCCCCCCCGAGACTTGGGGTTTGCGCTCAGCGCAGGGCGACATCCTGGCTTCCGTCCGGGTGCTGAAAGTCTTCAAAGCAGGACCGGATCAGGAATCAGACCTCCCTGCCTCTTCGCTCGACCACGGTTGCTTCCCTTCGTTTTCTACGAGGACTAACTACCGTGCCTGAAGATGCACTGCGGCAGTGCGACTGAGTGGCACAGTCATGAGCACTTGTTTCGGTGCTTGTTAATGGAAGTGCTCTTGCGCGTGGCGTTCGTGCAGGTGAGCAGCTCATTCAGCTGGACATCGGAGGAAATCCCTTGTGGCTTGGAGGGAACCTTTTGATCGTTCTCGCCAGGGTTCGGAAGGCTCCCGGAATCGCTTGTTAGCCCTAGGAAAAGCTTTCCAGATGTCTGCTCGCTGCCGAAACTGGAAATTCTGTTCGCCTCCAATGTTGGAGTCCAGGCATGATTGGAAAGATGCACACTTTAGAGCTGGTCATGTTATTTGAAAGCAGTCGCGTGCTTTAGTCCCGAGGAATGTCTTCACTGCCGGACCTGTCTACGTGCCCACGGTTGCGAATGCTAGGCAGGACTGAAATACTCTGGGGTACAACTTCCTTTCTGCGGTGTTAAAATTCGCTGGCCCCGACATGCCCCGACATGAGGCATCAAGGACAACAACCTGACCAGCTTGGACGGATGTTTGCTGCCCACCTGCTTGGAGTGGCTAATTGCAGCGGGAAATCAGATCGCGGAGTTGCCAAACATTGACCGGCTTCAGAAAGTACGCAAGCTGATGCTGAGTCACAACAGGCTCACTTGCGAGGCTCTGGCCCCTGTTGCTCAGATGGCCTCATTGGAGATGATCCGCGCAGCTGCAAACGACTTAGAGGGCTTCCCTGCGTCGCTCTTGAAGCATCCTTGCCTCGCGTGGGTGGCTGTGGGGGGCAATCCCTTTGCTGAGGGAGCCCTGTCCCGGCACCTTGCCGAAGGCCCCAAAAGCTTGGACTTCGCGGAGGTGCGATTGGCAGACAAGTTGGGAAGCGGTGCCGGAGCGACAGTGCACGAGGGAACCTGGCGAGACCAGAAGGTTGCTGTGAAGATCTGGGATTCGGAGTGCTTCTCCGATGGAACTGCACGGACAGAATGGGCCGCTAATCGCGTGGCTTCACAGCCCGGCCACCCATGCTTGGTGGCTGTTTTAGGTGCTCGGGCGCATTTGGCACTTGGTTCCGGTAGACCATAGTCCTGGTTCCGTTCAGAACCTGCGCGTTGATGTGACACCGTGCGTGGACCCAGGTACATTTGAAGAGCCCCGACGTGGCAGCCCTGGCCCAAACTTAAAATCGTAAAGTCAGGATTAGTCAGGGGTCTTCATTGATAGCAGGTGTGAAAGGGTGAAATGGGAAATGCCACATTCTGCACTGTGTCATGGGCTGCTCATGCCTGCTCGCAAGGCATGGTCCTGGAGTTATTGGAAGGAGCGAAAGCTGCGGCCGGCCCACCGACGTTCCAGACAGTGACACGCTGCTCAGTACACGTGGTAGAGGTTGGCCTGTCGTTGTCGGCCGGAAGAGGAAAAGTGTTGGCGCTCGCACTGCGACCACGAGAACTAAGGCGATGCCCTCCCGTGCCATGGGGGTCCTGGCCCCATATACTCCGTCACAGCTGCATGCCGCATTGCTACCAACGTTGCAGCTGCGGGTGAGTACCTCCATAGCAAGGCTGGGAGTATTCTCACGGTTTGGTAATGTGCAGTGCAGGCAATCACTGTGAGTTTGTGACCAGGGCTTGATGCACGGCGACATTTACCTGCACAACACGCTAGTGGTGCTTGACGGCCTCAAGGACCTATGAGTCAGCTTCAGCACCGGTACGTCACAAAACAAAAGAGGCATCAGGAGGTGTTTATGGAATGCGTGTTAAAAGTTGAAACTACGTGCAACTGTCTTTGGCACTAGAGGCGTGGTCGAGAGGTTGGTGTGCAGGTTTTCTTGGCTTTGCTTGGGGCAAGTACAAGTCCAGATCCATGGCTTCGCACAGGACGCCTCTGCCGTGAAGGACAGGCCAATCTGTGTGACCGTTCTGCAATGTCCTGGCGAGCACGATTTCGAGTGAAAGCTTCACATTGACCTCCTGGCTTTCGTCTTACAGGATGTGCGGCTGTCGGACTTTGGAGCGGCTGCCGCGATAGATGATCCCGACTTGCGAAGGTTTCTTATCTGAACCTTCATCTGTTTTCGTTTGCCTGGTTTGTCGCAGCACGAGCTCCACGCAGATACCCCTCTATATGTGGGCACGGGAGGCGATGGCAGATGATTTCATCAGCCCGACTCTGCTTCCTCGAACGGTAATGCATAACGCCTAGTCTGACTGCATCGTATGCAGCTCGTCATCGCTTGTTGCCTCGTGACATCTCGTGACACTTGGCTTGGCACTCCCTTTGCCAGGAGTATGAGAATTCTACCCATCGTCGCACGCACGTCCACGGCATATTGACGTCATGCTTAGCCACAGCCGTGTGCCGCCGCTTACTCGAAACATGAGATACGTGCCTTACGGAGTGTTTTTTTCCGCGCACCGTTTTGCAACCGTCTCAAACGCGTGGTCCCCGTGCAATGTTGTTTTGGCAGCTGCTTCTCGCTCTGGTTTCGCGAATCTGTTTGGCATCAGGAAGGTCAAGCTGCCATTTGCTCTCGTGCAACTTCGTCAAGTTTCGGGCGCATTCTTTCGCTCGCTAGTCAGCACGAAGATCCACAGCGCATTCATCAGGTCTTTGCTCGCACACGTGGCGCCCTTCATATCAGAAGCAGTTGTGCGAGTTCGAAAGTGTTGCCATGTGAGAGAAAGTCACAGCCTGCGTTCTGCGGAAGATCGACACTCTTCTGGAATCCTCTAGAAGAACTCTGGAGTTAGAGGCTTTTTGCACAGTTCCACGACTGAGGGTTGCATTGTCTCGGTGCTAACACTTCGTCAGGTTGGAGGTCAGAAGCTATGGCTGGCTGCTTCAAGACTTGTTGGAGAGCCATGCGGAAGCACAGAACGAAAGAGAAGCTGCGACTCTCGAGCTCTTGAAGGAGATGCTTTGCTCTTAGGAACTCTCCCATGTCACTCTCACGAGGCATAGCACTGTCGGAGGAGCTTCGCCAGCGCTGTGCCAGCACCGAGCCTCACGAGCTACCTTCCTTCGAGGAGATTCGAGGCCTGCTTCAAGGTTGAGCTCAAGACAAAGGCGAATGCGTCCCTCCTGGGGCCGCTGGCAGCGCTGCTGTGGCCTCGAGGAATCTCAACACCAACGGCGGATTGACCTCACCGGCACCTCTTCTGCTTCCACGGCGAATGTCTAGAAGCGCTGATCTCGTGCCAGAAGAGGCACCAGCAGAAGCGCGTCCATGGATTTCGTCCTCCGTGCCTGTGCACGCGATGGCTCTCGAGAGAAAACCACCCATCGGGCTTTGAGATTCAGGGAGAATTGGGCAAGGCATGCTCTCGGGTTCTGGCAGCAGTGCATCCATGTCAGAATGCGCAGTTTTAGACCAAATGCTCTCGCTGCCGCTGCCTCACTAAGCATTGTGCCTTTGCAACCAGGTAATGACGATCTGTGCATTCCGTAGTCTTCAACAGCACGTCTGCGCCGCGATATACATGCTACCCAGAAGGTGCCGCAACTATCAACAAATTTGGGATATTGATTTCTTAGAAACGACAGTTGCATGTCTTGGTTCACAAAAAACTAGGCCCAGGCATTTTAGAGACGGGGCTTACAGACAAGCAGGAAGATTCCGTGCACACAAAAGTGTATTCCCACCGTAGTTACCCAAGATCCTGCACAGCTCTGGCAAACTTCGGCGCCAGATTCCGACCGTGTTCTCAATTCAGTGAGTTTCAACGACGTATTCACGACTTTCCGTTGGTGGTTCAGCGAGTCGAGATTCGGTAGGTGTGGTTGCAGTATCTCCAGGTGCCCCATCCCGCCGCCAGTGGCCCTGTCTCCCACACAGTGCGGCCCTGAGCCGAAGACTTGCGGGGCATCAGCGGAGACCCTACAGTGCATCCGTTCTGGGCCGCAGGCAGGGACCACTCTGGCGAACGACGGTGGCGGACCTCGGTGCCCAGCCCCAGCCGAGTCCTCAACCGGCAGATTCGTTAGTGTAGCCCTCAGGCCTCGACAGCGAGAAGCACGGGGCACTGCTTCAGCTACGACGCACTTTCGGCTGGTGTTCCCGAAACTTCAGTCGTTTGACCTGATTTGAGCCTGTTGGCCTGTGTGTAGTGTCACTTCGGACTTCCTTTTCGGAGCGACTTGTCAGCTTGTTCAGGTGTCAGAGAATGCAGAACCTCTGCGATGGTGTTCGTTTAGAGTCTAGAGTAGCAATGTAAAAGCAAGATTGATATAGTACAGTGTTTCTGGTACTCCATATTCCATTGGCCATGCCAGGATTGACGCTTTGTGCTTCCGATGTGGCGCAGGTGCTGGGCTGCGGAACTTTGCTTGCTAGGTAGGATGTGCACGTCATGGTTTCGCTGCATTTTTCGGTGTGTAGTTTTCTGGTCGGCGATGGCCAACCGCTCAATTACAGCAACACATCATGGGCCGTCCTAGTGAGCTGTTCCTACTAGGTGACTGCCGCAGCCGATGTGTCAGCCTTGAGGCAGAGCCGCACAAGTTTAAAGAGTCCTGCGCCGATGCATGAGCATCTGCGGCAGCTCTTAGGCCATCTTACCACATCCTCGCCCTGCGTCCCACTTCTGAGGAAGCGTTCCAGGCCACGCCCTGCCAGCTTCGGACTTGCTTCTGAATAATGTGGAGTTACATCCATGGTCTGTTGCAGTAGCTGCAAAGTTGATCTTGAATGTATGCGAGGCTGCCTGTGAGAAGGCCGGGCGCCGTTGCAAGTTGGTAACGGCTTGCAGTGCGAATGTGCGTCTTCACTGGCCACTAATTAGCAGGATTCTTGCACCTGTAGGCGTCATCTTGTCATGTCAGGGTGTGTGCGACATCATCTCTCTGGAGATGGACGACAAACTTCCGTTTCAGTTGAAACGCAAGGACAGGCTCCGGCGTATCCAGGGTGCAGAGGATACATGGCACAACTGACACGGATGTCCAACATTGAGCTGCAGCAAATCAAGAATGGGTTGTTGGAGGTTACTGTGCAAGCCTGAGCTTTCTGCGCAGTCATGAGAGCTGCGTCCATTGACCTCGATCTCGCTAGTTGGGTGCATACAGGCTCAGATTTGCCGGAGTACTGTGACTGCGTGCTTGCCTCTTATCTCTGAGCTTGCAGGATGTGCTGGCCTTCCTGCGCCACAACCTCAGCACCTGTCGTTCTTGGAAGGTGTCGTCAGTCGAGAGCGTAGACTCTCAGATCGTGGTGGCATCTTTGAGCCCACAGCTGAGACTGACCCATGGCCAGTCCCGAAGCATTCTTTTGCGAAGAGTGCAGAAAGAGTGTATGACGAGGTTGGAGTTTGGGAGTGTTCTTCGTGATGCAGGTTCACCGCCCAGAGGAGAGGAGAGCAGAGAGCCTGTTCGGGCACCGCTGAAGCAGAAGCGCTATGGCAGTGTTAGACGTCAGCATTGCTCTGGCTCGTGTTGAGTTCTAGAAGATCTAGAGGTACGGTTTGAGTTTCTCAAGTGCTGAAGGGCAATCACCCGCTTCGAATCTACGTCTTTATCTGCTACAAGGTGTGATGGCCTGAAGTTCAGTGATTTCCGTCTCGCTTCCGGGCCACCCGGAATGCTCGGCCACGGATTCTCATGTCTAACACTATGAACACAATGAGGATGAATGCTTGAAAGAGGATCCATGGCGGGAGGGAAGCTGCAGGGGCGCAGTCCGGCAAGCCACGGTTGGCAGAGGGGGTGAGGTGCCATGAGCATGTGCTGCCTTGCTGACATCGCTACTGCGGCCGAATCGTGTTCCAAAAGCCCTTCGGAGCGGTTTGTGCTTGAGTCCAAGCAGAGCTTGGTGTCCAAGTTCTTCAGAACGGTTTCGGATGTTGCAGGCCGCTCCATGCGAAATAAATGTGTGAGACGTTCCGCATGTTGCGACAGCTCGACGCCGGTCATTCCTGGCCAACCTTGAGCAGCTTCTCCACGTGACGCGCGGCAGGAGGGGGCAATGAAGCTTTTCCCCATGCGCATTCCATATTTGAGCAAGTTTTTCAGACGATCTTGCTGCTGCCTTTTGCAAGCGCTATGAGCGCCATGCTGGAATATGATCTCATCTCAATGGGAAGGAACGTGCTGCTGAGCAGTGGCGCCCTTGACCCGCTGGAGATGAGGCCAAGCCGTGACAGGTGCCGAGGATTTGGCGAACAAGTTTGTGCCGTCTGCAGGTCGCCTGGCGACTTGGCCAATGCTGCAGCCGTGCTCGGCCTCCGTGGGGAGAAGGCGAAGCAGAGCCTGACAGAGGCAAGAACGGGCCTGTGCTGTTCTCTACAATGTCGGAAAGTTCGGAAAGAAGATGGAAGCGAAGGCCTGCAGAAAGTTTCGAGACACAGACAGCGCACGAGAAGGCCTTTGAAATAAAATCGGTTTTCTCCAGGTTCCCTACCGTGCGTTGCAGCGTGGTGTGCTCCGGGGCGGTTGCAGCCAGGCGCACGTGAATCAATCATGTTGCCTTTTGGATTGCTGCATCCAGGGTCTCCTGATCTCTGGGCGAAGAAGTGCAGAGAGCATCGGCTGTCTTTCGTGGGGCCCACCCCCTGCTGCCCCTGCTGGCAGGTCCTGTCCACACCTTCGGGCCCTGAAGCCGACGTGGACATGGGCGGAGAGCAGCAAATGCAAAGGGCTTTGCCATGTCGACTATGGGATTTGCCTACTTCTGCTAGCTCAGAGAGCCTTTAAAACAGCAATCCTTAATGGAGTTATGCGAATGAAAGGGCACGCAGTGTGTGACCGTATGTGGGTTGGCTGTTTGCCTCTGCTGTCGCACATGAACTGTGTGCTTGGCAGCCGCAGGGTTCATTCGCAGCTGTATTGGCTTGAGGAGTTAAAACGAAGTAGACCTATAGATGTTCAGGCGACACCATACATACTTTATAGGCGCTCACGTATAGTATGACATGACCTGTTGGACTGCAGACTCTGTCTTTTGTTTGGTGCTGCAGGTCTCGTCCTCTACAACCAGCATCGACACACAGCACTGACTTTGAGACCACAGCTTTAGCAAAACGTCATGTACACAGCTCGTATCATCCCATCGACTCAAGTCTTGTCTTTGTGCGTAGCCGCTGAGCAGAGGCAGCCCTTGCAGGGCTGACAAGATGTCAGCCCTTTTGCAGAAACACTAGGTGCGCAAGCCATGGTCTTTCAGCTTACAGTGTGCATCTAGTGCCGTTTACGCTCGGTACCGTCGAGGATGCACCGTCTCCTTGACAGGGCCGGCACTGCCGGATGCGCATTGGAAGGAGTGCGAACTCCAAGGCCACAGGGGCGGCAGGGCAAGGTGGCATCTTGCGAAGCACAGTGCAGAGCCTGACATCCCAGACAGTTTTAAAGCACTTGCCAACGTTTTCAAGTTGTGCGAAACAATACATCACATGCCTTTCACAGGAATGGGATGGAACTTTGCACGGCCCGCTGGACCCTTAATTGGTCACGGACAGATTCAAAGCAGTTCCGCATCAGTTTTCTGAGGATCCGGCATGTCTTCCAGAGCGTTCATGGAAGAGCTTTGCAACAATGCGGGCGGGTACAGCAGGCTGGCAAAAGACACACTTGGCTTCAACCCAACGTATGCACGCATAAAGTAGAGTAGCAAGAGCCCGCAGCCGGCAGGTTTCTTCAAAGCTTGGCTCTCCACCACCTTTGCTGGTGGGCGTGACCCCTGGCTCACGGGAGCAAGCATGAGTTGCAGTTTCTGCGATTTGCCAAGGTCGCCATCACAGTCGTCCCTGCAGTTTTCCTTGATCATCACAGGCCAGGGCCACTGCAGGGATGCTGACTGGTGTGCATCGGACCAGTTATCGTGCCGCATATTCGGTCGTGTATGCCACCGGAGCAGCTGTCGCACGACGCAGGGGATATCGATTGTCGTGGTTCAGAACTGCCAGTGCTGCAGACACTCACTTCGTGGAAGCCACTGGTATCATGACTTCTTGGGTGTGTGTGTGTGTGTGTCTGTGTGTGTGACAAGTTCACGAAGACCATGGTCGTTTTTGTCTCGCAGGTGCGAGGCGAATATGCCTTACTGGGCCTGGGCTTTGCCAGACTCTCGGATCGAACGGGCCTGGGCTGCATTGGGCTGCCAAGAAGACCTGTGATCTGGCTCCAGGTATGGCGCAACGGTTCTGGCAATGCTGACGATGGCCGGGCCTGCTGAAATTTCAAGTTTCATGGCAGCTGAACCTGAGACAAAAGGCCATCCTGATGGAGCTGGCCATGCTCCAGCGGCTCGGACTTCTGCAGGCTAGACTCGCCCCTAGGCCACGGGAACCGAAGAGCTTCGAAGCCTGTCCTTGTTTGCAGAGGCCAGCGAGTTTTGGTCATTCTGGCAGGCCAGCCCTTCGCACGTACACCATGGGGCGCGGACAGACAAAAAATCACAAGCACAAATCACTAAGGGAAGCCGACACCCAGCTCTTTGACAGGCACGGCGGTGGTGGCTGCCATTGGCTTCTACAGTGCTGTGGAAGGTGCGGCAAGCCCCCCGCGGCAGCCCCATTCAGCAACATTTGGTCTGACAGTTGGACAGCTACACCGATGTGGCTTTCGTCATCATTGCGCGTGACTGTGGTTCATCGCTCTGGTGGGCGCAACAATCTCAGCAGGCTCTTGTACTTGTGCTGTTTCGTATGTTCACCTGCACCGAACAACTAAGATCTCTGGCTACCATCATCTTTGGCGTGGTGTTTTGCCAGGCGGATGTCTGCGGGCTCCGCTGCACACATTTGACTGACTCCGAGCTGGCCGTTGCTGTCAGATGATCTTCAATACGTGCTTCGCATGCTCGGACTGCGATGGGGAGCTGCCAGCTTCCTTTGGGTTCGTGCTGCTCGACTTCAAGGTGGGGCTGCGAGCTGTATTTGGGGCATTCAGGATGTGCAGGAGGCTCTTGCGAGATGAACACTTCTCGGTTAACGCAGGGAGTGAACTTGCTCAGTGATAGAGTAAGGCCAGCATTCTTCTGAGCCTGAGTGCCCTGTGCAGCTAATCAACACCGCGATACGTGCGGTGGTGCCCTTTGACCCGGATGCTTCTGATCTTCCCGTGGCTTGGTGCCCAGCTCTGCAAGTCACCATGTGTGCCAGCGTCAGCATGCAGACAGGTTCCTGCAAGGATGTATAAGAGAGGGCATGTTGGAAAAACAGCTCCGGAGCTCGCTGTATCTGGGAAGTTGTAAATGCCCAGGCGAAGCCAGTGACGCTCAGATCTTCTGGGAACCTGGTCAGCCGTAGACTCAACATCGTCAGGGAGCGCATTGGAGCAATCCTGCTGCGCAACATCGCGCCGTGGCTGAGGTTTGGAGAAAGCCATCGGGGACATCGCCCAGGCGTTGACACTGCCGTCCCCTTTCATATCCTTTGCTTTCCTATTGACCTCTGTAGTCAGTGCAGGGCGGTGACAAACTGCAGTGGCAGAAAGGGCTGCTATGAGAAGCCGTCAGGTTTGCATACAGTCGCTGTTCCTCATGAGTGCCTCGGCCCCGTCTGTGCCCCAGCCTGGCACAACTGCGCAATCTGGTTTCTCTGCTGTTCTTTGTGTGTTCTGGTCTTGCACGAGCTCTGGGTTGCCCTTCTTTTGTAAGTTCTCATGTTTGGCCCGAGTTACTCAGCCGGGGAAGCTTGGTGCGAGATTCATGGTATGCCGTCGAACACTAGTCTCCGAGGCACGGCTTCGTGATGTTCAGTGTGGCAGTCGGAGCAGCAAACTGCTGCTTGCTCATTGTGGCGGTCGCCCCTTGGCTTCATTAACTGCTGGACGGACCGTCCCGGCTTCTTTCGGCTTCCCAAGCAGGGCCCAGACTTATGGCCAGGTTCAGAATGCCGTCTCCGAGGAGTGGGCGGTGCAGGCCAGGCCAGGCCAGGCAGGCGCCCGTGGCCGAAGAGTGGAAAGTCTGCGCAGTTTGCCAGGCCCAAGACCTTCAGCAGGGGACCGTGTTGGCGAAAGGTCCTTGGCTGAGTTGAACAGACAAGGATGATGTGAGATGCCGAACCTGTGTAGCCCATCCCGGCCCTCTTATGATTCAGACGCAGTCGTAGCAGTCTATTGTGTTGCTGTCTGCTGTTGTGAAGTAGCGATTGCGATCTGTAGTTCCACAGTGTTGCATCGACAGCGATTTGGCTTTGAGGTGCAGAGGAACCGTCGGACTTGGAGGACGCACTCACGCGCGAGTAGCAACACAAGATCTCGCGATGACTTGATCAGGAGGGGTCTCCTGGCCAGATGCCACCCATGGAAGAGATGCCGTCAGGCTTCGAGTGTGTTCGGGCGAAGCATCATGACAATGTCCTCGAAGTATCCTTGGGCAGGGCCGACGCCGACGACGTCCAGAACTCAGTCGTTCTATCTGCGTATCTGCGTCACCCACTCTCCATCTCTCTGTCCAAGTGACTGTGTATCCATCTCTATCTGCGTATCTGCATATCTTCGGTCGCCTTGTTTTTACACATAAAAAACTAACGATAATTGTATAGGTCTCGACAGCGTACTTTCTCCACGTGTGCGCTGACTAGTGATTCGACTGCCGAAGCTGTCGGGCGCGACACGCATGTCTTGCGCTTCGGTTGTCTTTCGTCGCTTCCGCTCGACCTCGATTGCCTCCGGCCACGAGCGGAACATAGCGGAACATCACCTCCATCTCTGTGAAGTGCACGGTATCGTTGCATCTTTGCTCTTTCGATGATCAGCTAGCAAGAGACAAGCAAACCTGCTTGAACAAACGTTAAGATGATTACATTTTCCTTCTTTGATTGCAGTTCACGGCCGGCGGGGGTGACACATGTGTGCATGTGTGTGTATATATACCCACACGTATATATATATATATATATATATATGTCTATGGGCTTTGTTTGAATAAGGCCTGCATGTCTGGATGTAACCTGCCTGCCTGCCTGCCTGCCTGCCTGCCTGCCTTGCTGTCCTGCTGACTGGCTAGCTGTCTGCCTGGCGGCTGACTGACTGGCTGAACGCACGTATTGTTGTATGTATGTATGTATGTATGCATGTATGCATGTATGCATGCATGCATGTATGTATGTGTACAAAGCCAAAACAAGAAGTCAATGTAGAGGTAGATAAACTGAACACCGGTCTGAACACAGACAAGCACACACGTATCTGTCTACATCAAATAAACATATATATATATATATATACGTACACATATCTATGTGTATATAGTGTATATACACATATACACATATGTATACATACATATATATATATATATATTTGTGTATACACACATACGTACATACACTTCATGCGTTTGTACTCATGTGTGTGTGTGTATATATATATGGTCAGCCCCCCCCATGATCTACCTCCGTCTTTCTTGGGTATGTAAAACACATAGAAACCACCGTAAATACCGATGACTTTGCTGTTTCAGAAACTCACAAATCCACCCAAAACTGTGTCACAAAATCGGTGGTTCGGAGCATAGCGAGACAAGCTTCAAACGAGGCGCAACCGCAATAAACGAA